TGTATGTTTGTGCATGCGCAAGTTATACATGAATTAATATGCAAGTGGGTACATCTGAACTCAACTTTACTCAATAGAATCTTTTCCCAACAAACGATCAATCATTTTCAGCTTTCATTATCTATGGATTTTTTGTGGGAGCTTCTGCAAGACCTTCAACTACAGTATCTTTTTCTTCTATCCCAGGACTGCGTCTGCATTTTTCTATTACCCCACAGCCTCTCCAATACTAATTTGCTGGTGGACCTAGACATCGGTTCGGACCATGTTGGTTGCATGGTAACTTATTGTGCTTAAAAACACCATTGTCAGTCACCGTTGCATCCGCAAAACCAACCATGAGTGAGCACAAAATGAGTGCCCCCAGGCCAAGGGCTATCAATTTTGTAGATGCAGCCATTGACAAACAAGCTTACCAAAAGGTTGCTTATAGAACAAACAAGCAAATTGGTTAACTTGTTCTGTTGATGTCAAGTTACCAGGGGACACCGATGCTGGAATTTATTGGGGGAGTCTCATGCTATATTAAGACAATTATGGTTTTTTTTTTCGAAATTTAGAGAAAAATAGCCATTGGAAATGAAAATATACTTTAAATTTTGAGGTTGAAATCGAAACTGCAAAGTTGTATTGCAACACATGCCAGCCATAGAGTCAAAGAGTTGTGTGGAGATTACTGTTTTTCCGCATTAAAAGAGAAAATAGCCACTGAAAATCAATAGTTTAAATTTATGGTCGAACATAAACGTCGAAAGTTGTATTGATATACATGTCAATCATGTGTATAGCATTGCACATAGAGTCAACGATTCAAATCGTATTAAACATATTTTCACTCTAGAATCGTATAAAATTAGAAAGTGGCTTACCTTCGATCTACTGGACAATTAATGTAGCATCTCAAAATATTAACACTCAAAATAATTTAATGCACAATAATTAATCAAAGACCAAAAAGAAAATAAAGAGAACAAGTGAAGACGAAGGAAGAAGACGACCAAAAACTTACAGCAAAGCCAAAAAGCAAGTTCTATTCAATCAAGTCTTTATCTTACAAAGCAAACCTATTCTAGTTTATATATATTAACCCTATTGCCAGATTTGAGAAACCCAAGTAGTCTTTTCCAACAAGACAACTCATTCTAATTAATCAATTTCCTATTTAGCCAAGGATTAATTAACAACTAATAATAATAAATTATAATAGCAAAATAATTGCAATAAATAAATAATTAGGTCAAACTCCAACAGCCTCCTTTGATTCAAATTCTTCAATCTTGATTATTCTCATAATTTGCTTCAACTTCACGAACATATCTGATTTGAGTGGCTTGGTAAAAATATCTGTAATATGATCCTTAGATTGATAATATAAAATCTCAATCTCGGCATCAATAACCAAGTCACGAATATAATCACCCTTGACATTAATATATTTGGTCTTCTCATGAAAAATTGGATTTTTTGGCAATGCGATAGTTGACTTATTACTATAGAAATCTTTGAAAGAATTTTTTGTTCATGCTACAAAAATCCAACATATGACGTAACCACAGTGCCTGAGTAGCACAACTGTTGGCTGCATTGTACTCTGCTTCAGTGGTAGAAAGAGCAACAACTTGAAGTTCTAAATTAACTTCTGGTTATTTCCTGTGAAAATAAGATCATAATCATTCATACATCAACGCACAATAATAGTATCTCCCTTGGAATTAATTTTGACATATAAAGTGTGTTCATAGGGACATCTCTAAAAATTATTCTCCACAAAGGTGTACCAAGCTCTAAGAGCTTGTTTACACCCATACAAAGCCCTTTTCAACATGTAGACTTTGTTTACCTCCCTTTTATTTACATAACTAGCAGGTTGTTCAACATAAACTTCCTCCTCAATGACACTATTCAAAAAACTGATTTCATGTCTACTTGAAATATCTTCTAAAAATGATTGGCAACAAGAGAAATAATCATACGAACAGTACCAAGCCTAGCAAAATGAGCAAAAACCGCAAGATAATCAATACTTGACTTTTATTTGTAACCCTTGGCTACTAACCTTGCTTTGAAACGATTCACATCTCTGTTCGGCTTGTACTTTGTCTTATATACCCATTTAATTCTAATGGCCTTCTTTTCCTTAGGAAGAAATTTGAAATCATAATTTGAGAGCTATTATAAATAAGTTATACATGCATGTAATTATTTTTTTTTATTTTAACAAAAAAAAAGCTAAAAAGTTACTTCAAATAGACTTTTTCAACTTTTTATAGAACACTCCAAATGGTTTTGGATAACTTTTTTAATTCTGATTTTTTTTGCAAAACATTTCAAGCTGCAGCTTTTCCCCAAAAAAAAAACCAACTATCAAACAGGCAAATTAATTACAATAAAAATTTGTCAAAAAATTCTATTTATTATACTACGTGTTTCAAATATATGTTTAATGTTGCTGATCACAACATGTTATAAACATGAAAGAATTTATGTTTCACATGAGAACTAAGCGTGAACTAGTTTATTTCACCCTCAGTCACCAATTTATATCAATGGAACATATTCTGGAGGTGGTTCATTTGGAATCCTCCCAAACTGACCATCTTCCTCTTCATATTCATCCTTGGGGTTGCCTCGACAACGTTCAGTAGCCTCGCAACCTCTATTATAACGATTTGATAGACATGGCAAGCAAGCTTCAGGATGCTTGTTGTCGCAGGGAAAACCATGTCTTGCGCCTTCTCGAACAACACCATAGTTGATAAACTCAGCATCTGCTACTTCAATCAATGGTGAGCACACCATTATAATGCTGAGACATAGAAGGATCGACCCTCGTAAGACAGGCATCGTTAAACAAACAAGCGTTTGTTGTTCATATATATCTAGTATATTCCTTCAACAAGAAACAAGAATCAGGCAAAAGGGAGCTTTAAGATATGTTTTGCATGGTAAGAGAAAGAATTTATTCTAAAATTTTTCTTGTTATTCTTGTAGAAAAGTTCAATGTACGTACTTCTCTTTCTGAACACATTATTATGACTAAGAAACACAAGGAAAAATTAATGTCATATAGGTTGTCAATCGAGCTAAGAAAAAGATTCAAAGATTGAAAATGCCTGAAATACTAGGTCCTAAAGGCGATGAAATAGAGGGAAGGTTGAGATTTATCACGGAATAGATGATCAATAAGTTTACATGTGAGGCCTTCAAGGTTCTAGGCATAACACAAGCATGTTCTGCCATCTTAATTGAATAAAAGTATTTAATAACTTTAAATGGAAAATAATCAAATTTTGTAACATCAAGCACTTCTATGAACTTTGTGCATTTATTTTGATATTAATGTTGTTGCTTGAAACCTATAAGGGTTATGTCTCAAATTCAGTTCATGGGAAATAGACCGTTGAGTTGCTTCTAGTGAATTGGTGGGGCTGAAGTCCGACTATGGCTCAAGTCGTCTTTAGGGAGCGCTTACAGGTTCTATCGCTCCAGACCTCTCTGGAGGGCTTCCCTCGCAGGTAAAAACTGCTATGGTTACGTACTCTTAAAAATTTCATATTTAGTCACCCTTTATAACATTTTTAATTAGCAGAAAAAAAAAATTCAATTGATCATGAGATTCAATTGAAGAATAGGAGGAACATTTTTACGAAGTTGGCAGTAACTGTCCATCGAGAACAAGGTACACAAGTAGTAACTATTCATTGTGCCTCCACAAGCTCCAACCTACTTTCATCCTACTACAACCTACTTTCAGCATCAAGAAAAATTATAACACATTTATTGTTGAGAGCTTTGGGGGTGAGTACATTTGACTTGGGCTGGTCTCAATGCACTAGGGTTGAAAGCGGGTACAATTTCTTAAGCATCTTCGCCTTCATGTCGCTCATGCTCGACGCATACAATCAACTCAAGGACCACCTAATTTGCAGATTAGATATCAACACCATACTTGAACCCACCAGATGTGGTGTAAGGATGCATAGATCTCACCCTCCCTGCACCCGACAGTGGAGGAAACCTCATGGACTGGGTCAGCCATTTTTACCTAAACCCATCAGACCCAAAGATTTTCTTCATGGTTTTGTCTGTCGTCTTGAAAGTAGTTCACAAAAGCTCATCAGAACAATCTAAACAGTGAAAATTATGATTAATCAATGAAAGAAAGTCCTGCACCAAACTTCAGTAAGGGAAGTTTTCTATACAAATATTTGGACATGATGAACAGGGAGAGAATAGGAAAAAAAATAACGAGAAAGAAGAATTTAACTCCCACAGCAATTTTGCAATACCTTTGTTACAAAATTGGAACCCGAATAAGTTGTCTTGAGACGAAATAATGATAATAGGTAAGTCATCATTATGTCGTTACAGAGTGTAAGACAATGGAAGCTGCAATCATGCTCGGTGTATAATCAGGGTAAATTGAAGTAAAAGGCTGCCGTATTGAGTGGTGACAAATTCTTTTCGGACATAGTAATCCAATAACCTTTTCAGCAGCAGTTATTTGTTCTTCTTGGAGGCTTTTGTTGTGTATTAGGTCCCTGCAATGTCATTAGCTTTTAGATATACAGTGTAAAGAGCTCACTTTTGAAAATCACATATAGCAGACCTATTGAAACTTGGAACATCATTTAATCAAACTATTGAACACCAATCTGTTTACCATTTCTATTTACAGCTTCCATGGAGATCAAATAATAACGAGGTTCATAAACCCTCGAAAAAGAAAGAAAGGAGGGGGGTGTTGCAGATATCCCTATATTGACATATATAACAAAGCCTCCCTAAAGCCAGTTTCTTTTTACTTCAAAAAGAATTGAGTTGATTATTAATTGCAAATGCATAGCTATTTACTTTTATCGTAGGTGTTGTCATGCAAATAATAAACTGAACTATCAGAGAACAATATCTTGTCTAATTTTAAATTACAAGCACTGGCTCTTACACGAGCAATGGGGCCACCTTCGATGGGGTACAAGCGTGAAAAAGCGATTCAGGGATTAAAGCCATTTAGTCAGGAGATTGGCCCGATAGGCAACAACACAAGGTAACTGTGCAAGCTGCAACTCAATAGCTGCTGTGCCAGATGCACAAAATGCTACATTGCTAGCCTGCATACCATTGGAACAAAGTTTGGTTAGGTAATGAATCTCAGCAAGAATCACACAAAATTCCATGACCATGGAGAATGTTTGTGGTGAAAAGTAGCAGATGCCATCAGGCTTTTGTCAGACAAGTTCTAATTGCATCCAGGTCTATGCTCTGTTATCTGCCTCAGTTCTGCAGAGCAAACAAGTGACAACAAGGATTAATCAAAATAAAAGGTCCCAAGAGAGGTATGAATATCCTCCATTGTACATAAAAAAATATTCAAAACAAATGGTCCTTCAGACCATAAATCAGTGTATACCTTAAATACATCCAAGTGCAAAGATTCTTTGTCACTGACCTAATGAAGTAAAGTTGATCATTTCAACTTCAAAAGATTAATATATATATGATCTCATCAGATTGTGGCCAACATCCAATGTGTTATTGGGGGTTGCCTTAACAACAACCGGCTAACTATAAATCATCAGAACATATTTGCTTTCTTATTTATTATTTTGTTTTCTATGGAAATGTGATCCAAACATAAGCAGGGGTAAACGCACTGAGAGTGTTCAGCCAAATTTGTCACAAAGTGCCCCCAATAGTGGGACATTAGCCATGAAAAAATGAGAATGGGGCCTTACACTATATGCATCATACTTCAGCTGTGGAGATCCTCCAGGAATCAATACTACAGATACAGGCCACTCACGAACAGCTTTGCTGACATATTCTTCCACATGCCGATTAGGTGCCACATGAACTACCGTTGTCAACTCTGAAAATGAGTCTTTCAATAGTTCCATAGTGTCTGAGAAAATGGGAATCATTCGCTCTACCTCCTGTAATCTGCTTCCAGGAAGCAATGTAATGATTGTGGATTCTTGAAGAAAAAAGTGTGAAAATTGTTATTTGGAGTAAAATACCACATCCAGTCAAAAAATGTCAGATTCCAAGTACATGGTGAAGCAGGAGGGAGAAATAAAGTTGCCTGTCTTCATATATTGAAGTATTGAACTATATTAAGTCGCATTACCTGAAGATTTCCCATGTTTACTTCGAAATTCCCCACCATTTCCTTTAACTATCCATCCATTTTCTGTAGCGTCCATTTCCTGATCGCGAAATCCCTCAAGGAGGTGAGATTTCAACAATTAGATGCACATCAATTTGAAAGCACCAACACCAATATAAACTAGAAATCTATAGGACAGCATAGTGAGGTTGGGGAAAAAAAAACAAGTTTAGAACCTATATCTGTACCGACTGTAACTCCCAAACGTCTTCCAGCATGGGGTGACCCACAAAGGTTGCAGCTAGTCCATGCACTTTGCAAACTTCCTCCTCAAATGGAAGGATACAGAACACGTGGTCTATGAACTCAGATAGCGCTTTGAGTCTTTTTTCACCCCCTTTCCAGGCCCAGAATGATGGTGCAACATAATGGAAGTTTGGAGGAAGGCTAACCAATGCTTGCTGATCATATCTAGCTGCAAAAAGGAATCCCCCATTTTCTTTGGCCATACTATTTTTAGGACAAGTGCAGAGCAAGCATAGAATCTCAGAAGAAGTAAGTGATGTATTACCCCTTAACTGCTTTAGGAATCGGAATGAAAAACCCTTGGAATCCACTGTCACAACAACATGAGGCTTAAAGAGAAGTGCAGCCTCCATTGTCTGTTTCAAATTAACCTGTCATTGAAAGTGCCAATGCAAGAACAAGGTCCAGATCAGACACATTAATTCGTCAATACTCCATATCTTTAAGTAAAAGATAAAATTTTGGCTTAAATGTAACGAATAGGGAGGATAATCACAATGATCTTGATAGGTGGAAGAGCATGGCACATTGCATTCCTGACTACTCACTCTCAACTTATTCAGATGCGGCAACAACTCCCAGATCCCCATTACTGAAATATCCTCCAAGGGGAACAGAGATTTCAATCCTTGGTTGGACATCATCAACCTTAACATACGCAGAAAGAAACATTACCAATGGGAAATACAAAAATTAAATGACAAAAATTGAAGAAAGTATTTGTTAATTGATGGGACATTTTCTGACACTCTCAGATGACGACACGTGTACTCGACGTCAACGGAGACTCTCCGTTGTGATCCCGACACGTCTTCATCGGTTTACAACCCCCTGCCCACAGGAACTATTCATTACCATTTCTTAGGCCACCTCTAGCCCTTACAACCTGTTCCAAGTAGCAAGATTGACCACTCGATTGACGGACTCGTGTTCACCACGGAAGAGATCTGTTCTTGTGTTTATATTGTGCAAGATCGTGCACGCACATTTATCAAAACTTTTTCTCCATTCTTTTTTCATCTCTCTTTCTCAGTAAGTAAATGTGAACCCAAAATTTTTACAAAAGCCCCACGATTGAACAAAAACAAGTGAACATATAATACTATAAATAAATACATCATTGCATGTAGGATCTCAAAAATACCAAGCACTCAAAATAATCTAACACACATTAATTAATCAAAGACCAAAAAGAAAATAAAGAGAACAAGTAAGAAGACGACCAAAAACTTACGGCAAAGTTACCAGGGTACACAGATGCTGGAATTTATTGGGGGAGTCTCATGCTATATTAAGGTTGAGATTACACGTTCAAAGTTGTATTGATATACATGTTAATCATGTGTTTTGCATTGAACAAAAAGTCAGAGATTCAAATTGTATTAAACATATTTATTGGGCAGTTAATGTAGGATCTCAAAAATATCAAGCACTCAAAATAATCTAACACACATTAATTAATCAAAGACCAAAAAGAAAATAAAGAGAAGAAGTGAAGAAGAAGTAAGAAGACGACCAAAAACTTACGGCAAAGCCAAAGAGAAAATTCTATTCAATCAATTCTTAAGAGTACAAAGCAAACCTATTCTAGTTTATATATATTAACCCTACTCCCAGATTTAAGGAACCCAAGTAGTCTTCTCCAACAAGACAACACATTCTAATTAATCAATTTCCTATGAAGACTGTGATAAATTAACAACTAATAATAATAAAATTATAATAGCAAAATAATAGAAAAAAATAAAATTCACGAATGTATCTTATTTGAGTGGCTTGGTAAAAATATTTATAATTCGATCCTCAGATCAACAATATAAAATCTCAATCTCAGCATCAATAACCAACTCACGAATATAATGATACTTGACATTAATATGTTTTGTACTCACTTGAAAAATTGGATTCTTTGCCAATGCGATAGTTGACTTATTATCACATAAAATTTTTGAATGAATTTTTTGTGCATGTTGAAAAAATCCATACATACGATGTAACTACATTGCCTGAGTAGCACAACTGGTGGTTGCATTATACTCTTTTCAATGGTAGAAAGAGTAACAACTTGAATTTCTCCATTTACTTCAGGTTATTTATTGTGAAAATAAGATCATTCACATATAAACACACAATAATAATATTTCACTGGGACATACAAATTGTGTTCATAGAAACATCTCTATAAACCATTCTCCACAAAATAAGACTCAATTTGGGTGTACCAAGCTCTAGGAGATTGTTTAAACCCATACAAAACCCTTTTCAACCTGTAGACTTTGTTTTCCTTCTTTTTATTTCCACAATCAATAGGTTGTTCAACATAACCTTCCTCCTCAAAGACACTATATATGCTAACACCATTAAAAATCCTTATATCGTACCCATTTTTTGATAACTGTCTCATACTCAATAAATTGTGACTTAGACCTGGAACATAATAAACATCTGAAATAACATTGAAGGACCCATCTTTCAACTTGATATAAATCTTACATTTTCCTTTATTCAGATGGTTGAAGCATTCCCAAATTTAATAAATGACCAAACAAACTCATCCAATTCAGTGAATATCTCCTTGTAACCACACATGTGATTACTGCAGCTTGAATTCATGCTATATTAACTATCCAATTTTTGATTTTCCATCCACATGTTTCTTCTGTAATTAGTTGGGGAAACCATTTGTTGTCCTTGGTTATTAAGAAGTATAGTTATCATAACTGGATTAAATATTAAACCACTAGAAGGACTAAGTCAACAGTTAGTTGGATCAATCGGTGCGTCAAATGGTTAGACTGATCGTATAATTAAAAAATAAAAAATTTAGAATAATTTAACCAAAAAAAAATATATGAAACATGTTTACAATTTATCATACCATAACCCCTCATGATTAAATTATCATCGCCTAAATAAAAACACATCATTCCAAATATGATAATCATTATCAACCCTAAAAACACATCATCCTACAAATAAGTCAAAATTGGACGGATTTAGGGCCCAATTCACCTGCCCAACTTGCTGGTTCAGTTCTGATAGCACTGTTGAGAAGCATTAATCACATAAAATTAAAATTATAATTTAAAATAATTCATAAGCAACTTACGTGTGCACCAACTAGTAAATTAAAATGGTAACATTGTAATCTAGTAGTAAATATTCGCTTCCTTTTTTGACAAATTTTTTGGTTTTATTTGTCATATTAACCTATTAATTTGCTTAAAAACCAATTATAAGTATTTTTAATAGAAATTTGCTACTCAATTTTCTTAAAATGAAGTACATTTAATTTCTACCTTTTTGTTTGATTGAGAATGCAATATAAAAATTTGGATAAATACCATAATTTTGGATTGTAAACTCCTTACCACTTATAAAACACCATCACTTGGATTGTAAAACCAATACATGTGTCACACCCTGTTTTCTTGTTTTCTCCTTTAAAAAAAAAACCCGGACGTGATTAAAGAATAAAATTACACCGAACTTACAATAATCTTCCTTATATTATTTTATTTTACTTACGAGTACATAATCCTCACAAGATCATTTCAAATATTCTTGATACAACATAAAGAGAAATAATAATAGCAAACTCTATCCTTTTAGCCTATCATCTAGCTTGACTTCATATATCTGAAAAATATTAAATAGGGATGAGCTCACCAGTTCAATAGGATAACGTTTATCAATAACTACCAAAGTTTTAAAACAATGCATAATATAATTAAACCGTGAATAAATGCAGGAATAGGGCAAAGTAATGAATCAAATAAATAAATAAATTTCAGCATATATCGATCATATCAATCCATCAATTTTCTAGTCCACACATGAACCGCCTCCGGAGAAAACTTTGGAGTCTTGCACCTTAGGGAACCCAATGCCCTTCTTGCTTTTTTGGAAACACCAATACCAAAAATTATGTGGTTCCACACAAGCTACCATGACAACTGATATTATTAACCAATGAACCCAAGGACTAGTAGGGATCCTGTGAATCCTCGCAAGGATCACACATCTACTAACCCTCTGCCCTCGATTATGTGCATTCATAGTAATTTCATCAAAATCACAAAATAAAATCATATCGTAGTCAGACTCCACAGCAAATCAAACATTAAATATTAATAAAGAAATAAACATTTATTATGCAACATAGTTTCATGAAATAATTAGGGTCTCGATAAAAATATAATATGTGCATGATAACTATTTATTTATAAAACCCAAGTTTGACCCCATGATTATAACGATATAATTTTATATTATATAATTAAAAATAAATTTGATATGTAACCCCCAAATATGCATGAAATGCATTAATGATAGTAAAACATAAAAGAAACTCTGCCTCCTTCTTGACTTCTATTCGATACCGTGTACTGTGACAAAATAACTAAAATAATTTTTCGAATAACTAACGAAAGATAATGATACTTAAATTTGATCAAAAAATATTTAATAAAGATCAACTTTAAGTGACTCCAACATATAAAATTTACTAAATAATAACTAAAAAATCTTACCCAAAATTTTGATTGTAACCACAAACTCTTAATTCAACAAAATTTTTGACCCCTTTTTCCTCTTTCCTCTCTTTCTCCTTTCCTTTCTTCCTCCATTTCTCTCTTTTTCCTTGCACAGTTCAATGTACTAAGCTTAGCTATTTATAGCCAAGATTTACTTGGGGACCTAGCATTCTCATGGACACTTGTCCATTGCTTCACCATTTCTTCTTTTCTTTTTTTTTTGCACGTTTTTACTGTTCATGTCCTCTAATCTTTATATAATATATATATATACCTAAATTGCTCAATCTTTTTAATTAAGATTGGATTTGCTAATTGTTCTTGAACTCTTTTATGGTTAATTTCATCTTTGAGAAATCTTACCTGTTGAGTTTTTTGATTAATTGCAATAAGATGCTGAGAGACTGATTGATCTCTTAGTTGTCTTAATGTCTTAATTTCTGGTTTACTAATAAAATTGAAAGTTACTGATTGACCAAATGACTTAGTGGTTACACCCTTAGTATCTGTTGTAAATGGATACAACAAGTATACAAATGGTAATCCAAGGATGACTTCACTAGTCATATTTTGTACTAGGACAAAAGATGTTTTGAAACATACATTGTCTTGACAAATATGAACATTTGGGAACTTATATTTAACTTTCATTTTACTTCCATTTGCTGAACTAAGTTTCTCAAGTGTCTTTTGATAATACTTAGTTGGTAGTATTCCTTCTTGAATACAGTTAACATCTGCACCTGTATCAATAAGGGCAATGGTTTCAAGTTTAAAATCATTAATGATGATTTGTACTTGAGAATACCATTTTTGGA